GTTTTTCCAGAGGCAGGGTGGAGTCCTGCTCATGTGGATGTCCAGACTGGCCAGCTGGCGAGTATTTGCTTGCAAACAGTATCTGAAAAGGGAAGGTCTCAATCAGCCTCTTCCGAGGGGAAAACTTGTTTCCATGGTAGTTGGACGAGATTTTATCCTTGGCTGTGGGGAATCCTCAGTACTGTACTTGTTGCTTTGCAGATAGATCTGGGGTGGGCAGCCCTTCTTGATGGGGTGGGGGGAGGGGGAAGAACCAATCCAAGAACGTGGTACATGCCACATTTCTCCAATATTAACGGAGGGGGTAGGGTCGGGGAGGGAGTCTGGTTGCAGGAGGGGGTTGTGGCCCAAGATTGGGGTGCAAGCGGCAGGCTCTGGCTGGGATTTGCTTACTGTAGAGATCCTTGGGCAGGCTGCTGGGCCCAGTGTGTTTTTCTGTGGCAGGCCCCTCGGAGGGAGGGGGGGCAGCAGATGCCTGCATGCGCCCACAAACATCACCCAGTTTCTGGACAATGGGGGCAAAGCTGGGGGAGGGGAGGCCTCCCAAAGGACACTTCACATGCGCACGCAGCCACCTGCTGCAGCAGGACCACGAGCTATAGGGTAGAGCCTGCAGGTAGACCAAACTCATGGGCACTTCAGACCTAGCTGTCTCCTGTGCAGTCACATCCTCTGTAACGCTACATCTCTTACCAGCTCCGTCCCTTCCCGCGACATACGCAGTTGCCCTCTTCCTTTCTAAAATTTATAGTGAGTCCAGTCCCATCTTGAAATGGGCACGGGTCTTGCTCTGTGGCCTGGAGCTGTTCTAACAAGGGCTGCCAAATGGTTAAAATAGTCCATAGCAATTGGCACTTGGTTGTGTTGCTCAGAAGCACCATTCAAGCCAAAAACCAAACCTGCTGCTGCTTCTGTTGCATTCGTTCCCCTCTTGAGGGCAGAGGGGACTAGGGAAAACGACTTGCCAGATCTCAGGCGGCCTGTCAGGGAAAGCATGGCGAAATTGCCTATGCTTGTAGCTTATTCCTGGACCTGACCAATGGGGGAGCTGCCTCACTTAAATTTCCCCTCCTCCACCCCAGCTGCCAGCACTGAACAGGGGTCTGTTTTGGAGCGGTCACTTGACACAAGCAGTAGGTATGAGCAGTGCACTTGATTGTGGGTAGATGCTTTAGCAGCGAAACAAGGCAAGAGGAGTAATCCGTGCTCAGGGCCTTAGGGACCTTGCTTACAACTTGGGGAAGGATGGAATCTATAGCTGGCCAACAGGAGAGGGCTACCCCTTCCTGCAAGGGCCAGAGCCAGCTTCCCCCTTGGCCTGTCCTTGAGGGCCTGCCCTTGAACTTGGAAATGCTTGCCCCTTAATGGTTTCCAAGTGGGGAGAGGCGAGGGTGAGCCAGCTGCCTTTGGCTTGCAAAGTTCCAGCAGAAGATGATGCAATGCATGTGCAAAATGCTTCCCAGCTGCCTGAGCCCTTTGGGTAGCAGTAGGTTTTTGGGACAAGACTGTAGCCGCTGCTCCTCTCCGAAAGGCTTTCTTGTTTGAAAGCCCCTGCCGGCCACATGTCTGGGAGACAGGCTGTCTGCATTAGACTGTCCCTTAGAGCCTTGCTTAGTCAAGCTGGAGCCTAAGTCTAGTCTGGGCCAGAGCTCCCTCGCCAGGCCTGTTCCTAGGCATTTGCTTTTGCGTTCTTGGGGGCTATGTCTACACTGGTGGGGTCTTGCCCAATAAATATGCAAATGAGGCTAAGCATGGAATATTGCTGAGCCTCTTTTGCATATCTAATGAGCTCCCATTTTTGTGGAAGAGGCTCTTGTCAGGAGGAGAGTCTACACTGCCCCTTGCGCAAGAAAAACAGTCTCGGCAATGCTGCTACGCTGATTATTTTCAGGAATAACAGCATTGCGCAAGAGGGTTTTTCTTGCGCAAGAAGGGGCAGCGTAGACAGCTCCTTCTGGCGCAAGAGCCTCTTCCGCATAAGTGGCGGCTCACTAGATATGCAAATGAGGCTCAGCAATATTCCATGCTTAGCCTCATTTGCATATTTATTGGGCAAGAACCCACCAGTGTAGACAGAGCCTAGCTGTGCTATGGGATGGGTGGGCCTGGTAGGAACCCATCCATTTAAGGTTGGTAGATGGTTTAACAAGAAATACCAACCCCCCAAAAACCCCACACACTGTGAAAACATTGTTGAGGAAAAGGGGAGACCAGAGTTGTTTAAAAAAGCCCCCAAAACAACAGTTGTGCAAAAAAAAAATTTAAGGAGGCTGCCCCTTTAAGACAGCTACCATCTTGGGTGCCATTTTTTAAAACCCCGCAGCTCTGATCTGAGCAGCACTTTTGGGGGGCAAGAGCCGCATGCGGCTTGCAAGCCAGGGGTTAGCCACTGCTGATGTTGAGGGAGGCATCATGTGGCCAGCTCCTATGTGCTCCACTCCCACCCCGGCACCCCTCTAGTGTGGTGCCCAGCAAGTGCCCCTCTGCCCCCCCTTTACTATGACTCTGCTGTGCTCCTTCAGGCCCCCCCCCGGCCAGACGCGGCAGAGGAAAATTGTCCCCGCCAGGCTTCTCTCCCAGGAAAACAGGAAATACTGACCATTTCACGTGGCTGGTATTTCCTTTTTTTAACTGGACAGAGCCTGCAAATAGCAGACTGTCCGGGTGAATACTGGACTCCTGGCACCCCTATGTCTGCTGTCCTGGTAAGTCATGTGGCCATGGGTAGTAGCGCGTTGTCCCTGTCCTGCTGCTCTGGCAAAGGCCCTGAAAAGCT